CTTTTCTCTAGCACCATAGCCTAAGCTACCCTCACACAGCTTCACACAGCCTCACACAGTGGGGCTCCCTGCTTCCATATTTGACCGTCCACAGCTGTACTGAGCAGCTACAGTGAGCAGCCTTAATGCCAAACCAAACCATGGAGTCCCTTGCCTTAAGCCTATCAAACGGCTTATCATCATACTTAGACTGAAGTCCAAACTCCTTCCCAGGGCACACAGTCGCTGCATGATCTAGCCTCCACTGACCTCTTTAGCCTCTCCACGTGCCACTTGGCTGCTCTGGCCAAACTCCATCTGCACAGAACTCCCTCCTTCCCCTACTCCTCACTCCGCACTTTGGGTATGTGCTTCTCTGTGAAGAACCAGGAGCCACCCAGCTGCCCAGCAGCTCACTCTGCTAATCACAAACTTACTTGTTCCTTTCTCTTTTCTCTCTCTCTCTCTCTCTCTCTCTCTCTCTCTCTCTCTCTCTCTCTCTCTCTCTCTCTCTCTCTCTTTCTCTCTCTGATTTTTTTTCTTTTCTCTCCAAAGAAATATTCCCCAAGGGCACTTGTCCCAGTTGCATGATTTACAGTTTTGTTTGTGCCTCATGACTCTGGATGCTTCCCAAGATCAGAGAGACATCTTCAGAGCACAACACAGTATCTGATACATGCCAATCAATACATTTTGGATGCTGTAGCCAGTGATGGAAGGTTGGGCCAGAAGCTTTTTGATGGAGGAATTACATCCCAAAGCCTTTCAAATGGCACAAGCAAACTGGTTTGCTGGTCACGTCAGTTATGAAAACAATGACCTGCTTGTTCTGTCAACAACTTTTTTATTGATTTCTATTGAGCTCTACATTTTTCTCTGCTCCCCTCCCTGCCTCTACCCTCCCCCAAGGTCCCCATGCTCCCAATTTACTCAGGAGATCTTGTCTTTTTCTACTTCCCATGTAGATTAGATCTATGTAAGTCTCTCTTAGTGTCCTCATTGTTGTCTGAGTTCTCTGGGATTGTGGTTTGTAGGCTAGTTTTCTTTGCTTTAAGTTTAAAAACCACCTATGAGTGAGTACATGTGATAATTGTCTTTCTGGGTCTGGGTTACATCACTCAAAATAATGTTTTCTAGCTCCATCCATTTGTTTGCCAAATTCAAGAGTCATTATTTTTTTCTGCTGTGTAGTACTCCATGGTGTAAATGTACCGCATTTTCCTTATCCATTCTTTGGTCAAGGGCATTTAGGTTCTTTCCAGGTTCTGGCTATGACAAACAATGCTGCTATGAACATAGTTGAGCACATGTCCTTGTGGCACGATTGAGCATCCTTTGGATATATACCCAAAAGTGGTATTACTGGGTCTTGAGGAAGGTTGTTTCTCTGTCAACAACTTTTCATTGAGCTGGTTCTGTGTGTCTGTCAGGCAGCAGACTCAGCACTGGGAATATGATGTTGTAAACTTAGGAGATAAGATGCTGGCTTCTAAATGGGTTACTGCAAAGGGAGACTGTAGAAGTCCCCACTGTTACCCTTTAAGATACTCTAAAGGTCTGCTTTTTCCCCCCGTCTCCAGGTTTTAACCTAGACAACTTCCGCTAACTGTCTGAAAGTGTTGGTCAAGCCATGTCTGTTTTCAAGAGAGGGCCATAGTTACTAGGGTTGGCTCTGCCTGTTGACAAAAACACCAGCAGCAAATTGCTTTTAAATGATAGCTAACTTATCTCTCTCATAAGAAGTCTGAAGATAGGCAGCCTAGGTGGGTAGACACAACATTTCTATAAAGTTACCAGTGACTCAAAGTCCTCCCAAGTTGCTACTACCACAGAGAGCTAATTGTTTCATTGTCCAGACGGGCTGGTCATGCGCTGGCAAATCTATCCACACCAAAGGCCTCGGAAAGGGCAAGGAGAACCACTCCTGGCTTCTGAGAATTCTTCCTAGAAATAATGTACGCCTTTGCTTACATTTCACTGGCCTGCTCACCCCTATTTATAAGAGAGGTTTTCTTTAACTGATTCCACTATGACCACTGACCAAATTCACATTTGCACCAGAGAAGGCAGACACTGGAGAGGCAGCCAGCAGGTGTCTAGATACACCCAGACATAATGAGGGAACAGAGAATAAAAGAGGAAGAGAACAGAAAAGAGCTTCACAGAAAGGTCTGGAACCACTAACTCCCACAAAGCCTACATTAGTGGGCCATGGCTGGCTGTGAGGCATGACTGCATGCCTGAGTAACAGAGTCAGCCGTGCAGACTCCTGGGAGGAGTGTTGTCTCTTCTGCTGGGGAATAGGCTTCCAAGAATGGCGGGGGGGGGGGGGGGGGGGGGGGGGGGGGGGGGGGGGGGGGGGGGGGGGGGGGGAGGGGGGGGGGGGGGGGGGGGGGGGGGAGCTCGGAAGGTTATCAGAGGAACTCTAGAACTAGGAAGCCCAGACTATCCTAGTAAATGTCTTTCTAGAGTCATCTTTACAACAATCAGCTCTTGCACAGCAATGGTGGTGTGTGCCTTTTATCCCGGCCCTCGGGAGGCAGAGGCAGGCAGGTCTATGTGAGTTCGAGGCCAGCAGCCTGCTCTACAGAGTGAGTTCCAGAACAGCCAGGGATGTGTAGAGAAACCCTGTCTTCAAAACAAAGAAAACAAAACAAAACAAAGCTCTCAGCCCAAAGCCTATTATTCAAAGTGGGTGTTCCAGGGGAAAAAAAAAAGTCTCTTCATTTTAAGACTGGGAAAGGCATGGAGTGTGCCACACCCTTCTCTTCCCATCCCTCACACCTTCCCACCGCAACCTCCTGAGAAACACATGGGTTGTGCAGAGATGTTTTATTTCTGGGCAAAGTTTTCCCTAGGAATGTAACCCCTGTATATTCGTGCATTGATTTTTTTTTTTGTTTTTTTCTTTTGGTTTTTTGAGACAGGGTTTCTCTGTAGCTTTGGAGCCTGTCCTGGAACTAGCTCTTGTAGCCCAGGCTGGCCTCGAGCTTACAGAGATCTGCCTGCCTCTGTCTCCCGAGTGCTGGGATTAAAGGCGTGCACCACCACCGCCCGGCTCGTGCATTGATTTTTGAGATGGGATCTTGCTATGGAGCCCAGGCTGTCTTGGAACTTGACCTTCTCTTTCCCCACTGTCTCAAGTGTTGGGAGTAGAGGCAAAGGCCACCAGCCCAGACACAGGCCCTCAAGAATGTAGCATTCTTTCAGGTCTTAAGGATTTTCTCTGTGCGCCGATGGAATAATTACGCAATAACACCCAGTTCCCCAAACCTAGGAGTAGAGATTCATGTCAACAGTCTTCAGCCTTCCTGAAGAGCCATCACTATCACAGAGGAGGACACAGACGACCAACGGTTATGGAAGGCCTGATTGTCCCCTATAATTCACTTGTGTCGCTCCCTGCCTCAGAAGCTTCAAGACTGAAAGACAGTTAGAGCCATGTGTCCCTTTGGCCTTCAGAAAAAGGCAAGGGCTGTGGGTGATGGCACACAGCTGTCATCTCAGTCCCTGGAAAGCGGAGGCAGGGGAATTACTGTAACCCTGAGCTGGGACTACCTGGTGAGTTTTAGGCCTGCTTGGCCTACTTGATGAGACCTGGGCTCAAAAAAGAAGAGGGAGGAGGGAGAGGAGGAAGCAGTAGGAAAAGGCAAGAGTCAAGCATGGTGAGGAAAGCCTGGACTATCAGCACTGTAGAAGGTGAAGCAGGTAGATGGTGGATCGCAGGCCAACCTGGGCCATACTAACTCAGAGGCAGCTGTGTGTGTGTGTGTGTGTGTGTGTGTGTGTGTGTGTGTGTGTAGTGTGAGCAGGCCAGAGGCTCTTCAGTACTTCCTCTCAAGGGCTTCTCCTTCTCTACCTCATCTACCTCCAATTTCCCCTGCAGGGTCTACAGCTTCGACCGGTCTAACCTTCCCGCGCAGGTAGGAAATGGGAGGACCAGGGCAATGTTACAAAGGACTGGACACACTGAGATTTCAAGAAGGCATTTGCCCTGCCCCTGGCCAGGGCCCTTTCTGGTGCCAGGCCTAGCTATGGAAGTTTGTCACCTGACCCTGTCTTTCCAGTGAGCAAGAATTACTCAGGCAGAACCCAACCCCCGCCCCTCCCTTGAATGCTGAACATTCTGTTTTTTTGCCCTTAGGAAGAAACTGGTAAATAACTACATTCTCTTCTGCCAGTTGCACTCCCCTCCCCCGCCTTCTTTACAAAATCAAGGAACTGGGTCACGTTACATAAGTCTGTGTGGTTTTGACGGGCTGAACATCAAGCTTCAAATTGTTGTCCCACACACATGTTGGAGCAGAGCCCCTGTTCCCCCAGTTAGCATGAAGGGAAGCTGCTGAGTTCCAAAGTCTGGGGAGTTGTTTTTCCATACACTTCAGGCCAGTTTAACCCATGTGACCGACTTGCGGCTCTTCTCCTAGAAAGGCATTAAGCCCTTCAGAGAAGTTACAACTCGCCTAGACAGGCACCCCATGGTGGGATGGGCAGGGGAACTTCCCAGAATCTGCCCTCAAAGCATCAAGGCCAAAGTCCTCCTCCTGTAGAGTCAGCCATTCCACCAAGCATTTGTTCAGCGGACAAAGCCTTAGAAATCTTGCATAGGTGGCTCACGGACAGCTGAGAACTCCTGAACTTGTGTGGCTTCACCCTAGTGGAGAGAGGCGGGCAGACAAACACAGAAACCAGTAAGCACAGCAGCAAGGCTGGGAGGGAGGAAGCAGCCTCCCCTAGATCACACAGCCTAGGTCTTGTGATGGCCAATGTCTTTTTCTTTGGTCACTGAACATGTTCTATGGATTGAACATTTAGCATCAGGCCCTGAAGCCAGTGAGTAACAGTCAAAGGACCAGGTATGGTGGTACACAGCTGTAGTCAGAGCACAGAAAAGGCAGAGGCAGGAACATTGGGGTTTCCAGGCTACATAGTTAGACCCTGATTTATTTTCTTTCTTTCTTTCTTTCTTTCTTTCTTTCTTTCTTTCTTTCCTTTTTTTTTTTTTCCGAGACAGGTTTCTCTGTAGCTTTGGAGCCTGTCCCGGAACTAACTCTTGTAGACCAGAATGGCCTGGAACTCAGAGATCTGCCTGTCTCCGCCTCCCAACTGCTGGGATTAAAGGTGTTCGCCACCACCACTTGACGAGACCCTGTTTGTCAGAAAGATAAATATTTCTGTTCTTGCAAAACTATAATATAATCAAGGAGGCAAACTATATAAAGATACACATACACACAGAGAGGTGGAGTCCTGGTCCGGCATGTAAGGAAGCTACGTGGCTCAGTGGGTAAGTGTACTTGCTGCTCATCCATGAGGACCTGAGTTTGGGTCCCCAGAGCTCATATAAAAAAGCAGGCCATAGCCATGTGCCATCCTATAAGCCCAGCCCTGTGGGGTGCCCAGACAGGAGGATCACACGCTGGTGCTTGCTGGCCAGCCAGTCTCCTGAAAACAAAACAAAACAGTAAGGTTCTGTGAGAAAGCCTGTCTCCAGGGAGTCAGTCAGAGGGTGCTAGAGCAAGACATCGGAGTTTCTCTTCTGGTTTCTCTAGGCGCATGTGTGCGTGCCCGCGTGTGCTCACCCCTCCCCCAATAAGGACACACAAAGCCTCCGTACAGTCCTAACAAATGAAAGGCTATACAAACTACAACTTTAACATGCACACACCCCCTCCTCCTCTTTCTCCTACTCCTCCTCCTATTCATTTGTGCTTTGAGACAGGGTCCTGCACACCCCCAGGCCAGACTCTGATTGCAGCAGAAGATAACCTTAAAGTCACGATCCCTCTGTGATAGGCAGTCTTACAAATAACTGTCACCAACCTACTTAGTCAACAATACTCTTAAAATTCACAGGGAAGACGACCTTCCAAGCTTTAAAGAATGACAGCTTTCCCAGAACAACAACAAAAAACCCTTTTCAGAGACCAGTGCCAGGTCAGAAAACCCTGGGCTGGAATTGACAAATTGCGGGAGGCTTGTGGACAAGCTCGAGAGTTCGACGTTCGTGCAACCCTGCCCCGAGCAGCAGCAGGCGTTTGTTTTACCTCCAGGAGCTCCACCAGCTCCCAGCCGACATCAGAAACGCCCTAGCCTGGCTTCTGGAAGGGGAGGGGGGGGGAGAAAAGAAAACATTCTGAAATACGCCAGAGCATTCTGTTCTTCTTTTAAAGGCCTTAGGAAAAACAATTCTACTAGAACTTAACCTGCTGACGTGACATCAGAGCCTGAGCAACCTTGGGGAAAGACACACTCAACTCCAGCTCTCTGGAGCATCCCACATAGATGGGGGGGGATACAATGTGTGAAGGATGTGGGGGGGATAATGGGGGTGGGAGAGATAGCCAGCTCCCCGACTCCTCCAGACATTTTGCCCTGCCAGATGGGCACAGGGTTTGAGAGACACCAGGAAAAGTCACAGTTGAAGAGCCCAGGACAACGCCTGCCCCGAAGGTCAAGGAACATTGCAGGAGAGAGCAGAAAGACTGTAAGAGCCAGAGGATCAGGGAGTTTGCTACAAGAGCGTGTCTCTTCCTAAAGTCAGAAGCCGCATCCATGAAGTCTCATTCAACGTGGCTGCCTAACATGAGCTGAAGAAGAGTGGTACCAAGGTTGGGCTGCCTCTGTAGCCAGCGCTGTGCGCACAGATTGGCTGTGGTGATGACTTGTCAGATGGAACTGCAGACACAGAATCTGTGGACGAAATAGTTGACACATTAAACTCCATTCGAATTCAAACCTTCCAGGCATGATGGTGCATGTCTACCTCCTCGGAACTGGAGAGGCTGAGGCAGAGGGTCACAAGTTCAAGGCCAGCCTAGGATAGAGAGTGAGTTCCAGCCCATTTCATTTGCACGGTGAAAACTTGTCTTGAACATAGACAGAGATGTAGGGGGAGGTCAGGAAGGAAAAGAAGGAGGGAGAGGTGTGGAGGGATACTGAGGGAGGGAGGGAGGGAGAGAGAGAGAGAGAGAGAGAGAGAGAGAGAGAGAGAGAGAGAGAAGATCAGCAAAAGGAAAGATACAGAACAACACCCTCCCCCAAAGGTACAGAACACAATGCATTCTTAGGGAATTGCAAATTAAAAAAAGAATGAGACACCTAGTATTATGGCCATAATCTAAACTTTACAAACATCGGGAGCTGGGAAAGATGTGGAGGTAAAGGAAGTTTGATTCTTCACTGACTGGGAACGTAAAATGATACAATGACATTGAAAGAGTTGTGAAATCGAGTTTATCACAGGATCCAACAATAATACTCTTTAGTATTTACCTAGATGATTTGTAAACGTAGACCCATACAAAAAGACCTTGTACGTGTTTATAACAGTTTCATTCATCAATGCCCAAACCCAGAAGCAACCATGATGGCCTTGGGTAGATGAACGGACAAATAAGTGGTGGGGAATTCTGTTAGAGGATTCTTTTTCAGGTCTAAGAAGCTGTTGAGACCATGAGAAGACAGAGCAGGGAGCAGCTCTTGACCTCTTTGAGAATGGAATGACCTTTTCACGGGAGTCACATATCCGATATCTTGCATATCAAATATTTACATTACAATCCATAACAGTAGCAAAATGACATTTATGAAACAACAATAAAAATAATTTTATAGTTGTGGGGGGTCACCGCAACATGAGGACCGGTATTAAAGGGTCGCAGCATTAAGAAGGCTGAGGCTTTATAGGAAGGCTGAGAACCACTGACCTAGAGGAGCTTTAAGTGCGCTATGTGGAAGAAGCCAAAGTAAAAAGGTCACAAACTGAATGATCCTAGTTATGGGACACTATGGTTTCCTCGGAACTTCAGAGCTGGTGACAGTATGTAGGATTTCTAGGAGCTGGTGGAAAGGAGAGCGACTAGGTACAATACAGAGGATCTGATGGACAACGAAAGCCTTCAGGGTTGTATTGCCATGGAGCACACACAGCTCAGCATTGGCTCATACCCACATGACACACACACCAAGTTTGAGCCCCATGGCAAGCTGTGGCCTTTGGGTGATGAGAGTGTCTCAGTGCAGGCTCATCAATGTTGATGCATGTTCCCCTCCGGTAGGGAGTGTCAACAGGCAGTCATGGAGAGAGGCTACAAAAGCGTGACAACGGTATATAAGACAACTTTCTCTACTCTTAGTTAACTTTGCTGTGAGCTTAACACTGCTATAAAATGTAATAGAAGTTCGTTAACCTTTTCAGAAAAGTAGAAAGTTGGAGTTTTCAGATACCTACAGGCCATCTGCCTACTACACTTAGTAGGCAGCGAGAGCAGCCAAGGCTCGGTAAGTGGAAGGAGCTCGCCCAGAACAAATACAGCAAGTTCAATGCAGACGCAGGGTTCGAGTCACACCATGGAGCCTCTCTGTTCTATAGTCGTCAGACTGCCACAGAGCCACAGAGAGTCAATCCATTGTTTTCTGGTAGACAGTGATTAGCGCACGCTCTTATGAAGTCAAAAGCCAGAACAAACAATGGGAGGCTTGGCGGCACACACCTGTAATCCCAGCACTTGAAAGGTTGAGGCGGGATGATCTAGGGTTCTAGGTGAGCCTGGGCTACAAAACAGAACTATCTTGGAAACAAAACAGAGCAAATCCACAAGCGAGCCACAGCAACCCACAAACTCCAAGCTGTTGGGAATGCGAGACCTAATTTATGACTCTAGTTCTTCTAACCCTTCAGGGCTGGAGGTGACCTCAGAGAGCAGAATCAGGAAAGGAGCCCAAGGCCTTTCTTTCCCAGAGGCCTGTTGTTGTTGGCCCTTCTGCTCTCAACTGAAGGCCAGAACAGGACACACATTAAGTAAACTCTTCATAAGGTTGCAGTTATTCACTGCAAGATTCAGGGTTTTTCTTTTGTGTGTGGGGTGGGGGGGTTGTTGTTGTTGTTGTTGCTATCATTGTTTGTTTCTTTGGCAGAAGCTCTTGGCATACAACCAAGAGTAGCCTGACCTTTCAGCTCCTCCTGTTCCCACTTTCCAAACGCTGTGGTTATAGCTATAAGCCAATATACTCTCTGGGTTCCTAAAAAAATAGTTTAATTAACACATCATTCTACACATAAGTGGAAGGCAGTATAACATCACAATAAATGTCAGTGTATGCATAACTTATCAGATATTGCTCTTAGCATTTCCCTGTGATGAAAATGTGCAAAATCTTCTCTAGGGCCAGGCCTGATAGCACATGAAAGGGACAACAGCTCAAGACCTGTGGGACTACAGAGGAAATTTAAGACCAGTCTAGGCAATTTTTTGGCACCCTTTCTCAACTTTAAACCATGAAATCTTCTCTTCTCCTCATTCTGAAATCTACAATGACCCAGAACACTTTTACTTATGTTCAAGATGCAAGAGCCCCCTCCTGAACTTCTCGGCTGTCCCCCTCACCCGGAAGTGCTGCCACGTGACCTGGCTTGGATCTCCCCTACGGCTTCTCATCTCCAGTGAACCTCACAGCCTGGATCATTGCCTTACAGAATGTCCAGGCCTCAGTCATGTCTGTCCCCTCCGGTGACTCTTCCACAAAAACCCCCTCCCACGCAATGCCTGGGTCACCTTACAGAGCAAGCCGTTCCACTTCTGGGTCTTTGCTCGTAACTATCCCACCTGCCAGTAAGAAGCTCTCCATTAAGGTCATCCAACCTGCTGCTGGCATACTCATCTTTCAAGACAGCAATAGAAACCTTTCCCACCTCCTCGGCTGAATTAGCTCTTCCCTTCAGCAGGCCGTAGAAATCAACACCAGAATGCCTTTGCAGTGCCTGTTATGTCTGGTTTGCTGTCTTTGTGTAGGTAACCAAGTCTATTAGTTTCTGGGTTTATTCTTCTGTTTCTTTCTGCATAAATGAACGGATGTAAATATATATGTGTGTATATATACTGTATATTTATATACATACATATACATAAAATTTTTACTTCTTAGGCAAGAAGGAACATTGCATCGACACACTTTCTGCACTTGTCTTTGCTTTTGCGATATTAGCTTTAGAACCCTGTGCCTCCTGCACATGTTAAACAAGTACTCTACCACTGTGCTATACCCCAGCCCCATACTTCTTATTTTATTAGCTATATATCCTAGCTGGATGGGGTGGTTCACACATAAAACAAGCACTTGAGAAGCTTGAGGCAGGAGGGTTGCGGGTTCTAGGCTTAGACTACCTAGCAAGAACCTATCTCAACATTAACTAAATAAACAAAGAACAAGTCAAGAAGTCACTCCCTACCCATTCACAGGGAGGATCTGCATTATTTGCACAGCTGCACAGTACTCCGCCATGGGCATGCTGTGGTCTGTACAGTAATAACTGTTTTGTCTGTAGACATTAAGACATTTTTATAGTGTTGGCAATGGAAGCCAGGGTCTTAGGAATTCAAGGCAAATACCACCTGAAACCACCTCTCCAGCCCGTTTCTAATATTTTGCCACCACAAGCATCACTGCAATAAATACATTTGCACACATGCATTTCCAGACTTGTTGGAGAGAGAGATTCCTAGAAATGGAATCGGTGAGTCAAAAGATAAATGCACAGATGATCTTGTGAGCTAGTGTCAAATCCCCCTCTGAAGGGCTGAATCAACGTTCTTTCCCCCCAGCACTATGGGAGAATCACCTCAGATCTTTTGAGAAGAGGTTTTCTTAGAATGTCAGCCACCTCCACTTCCCAGGCTGCCCCGTCTGTACAGCTGGTCTACAGGAGTGGCCCAGAGAGCCTCTGTGTGCGCAGCCCTGCCCCGCGAGCTCTTATCTCTAGCGTTTCACAAGAGCCACGGACAAAACCAAGTTCCTAAATTTCTAGGAGCACATTTGCATATTTTGTCTTTTGCATTCCTTGTTTGGGAAAAACAAAGAAAAAAAAAATTATAGTGCCTTGAAGTGAGCAAGATAATCCTCCGAAGTCCATTAGCTTGGGAAACATGGAAAGAAATACAAGGGAAATATACTGCCGTTCCACACTCAACAAGTACCAATTTGCTTGCTTCAAAGGTCCTCATAAGATCGAGCACCCATCTTATAAATAAATAAACCATTCTATTGAGAAATATAATAAAGTCATTTACTGTGCTTCAAGGATTACACAGCGCTTTCACACACATATTATCTCATTT